ACCAGCCACCACACAGGTGTTTTTGAGAGATCTGACAGAGAAAAGTTGGAAGAATTGTGGCGGAGGGCGCCTTTGTCCTTTCACCCCTCCGGGGAGAAGCTGTAATGTGGACCAACCAGCCTTAGACCATTCCCAGCCATGAGCTTCGCTGTCTGTTAGACTGAGTTTGCATGGCTTCCCATCTAATCAAGGTGATCTGCCAGTCACAATCAGAGACTTCCAGGTGTGCCTGGTGACTTGTTTTCCCAGGTGATTTTGGAACCTGTCAAACTGACAAACCCTAGCCATATTAGCTGGAAATACTTGGCTTCCAGAATTCCACACTGTCAAGGATTGCCTCTGACTGTCATTGGCTTCTCCTCGGCTTTCTTTCCTGGTTCTTATTCTTCTTCATGCTAGGCACCCCAGGACTTGGCTCCTAGACCTCCTTCTCATCGAAAATATTGTCTTTATGACAGTTGATGTAGTTGGATATTCTCAGTTATTCCCTGCTGTAGACCAGCTTGGGACTCCTAGCTATAGCTGGCCTTGGTGTTATTTGCTGGATAGCACAATCCAATTATGTCAGTATCTGCTATGTAATGAAATAACGTATTCCCATAGGAACCTCCCAGAAAACAGCAACACTGAAAGAGTTGTTACCAAGAGTCACCTTATAGTTGACCACTAACATTTACAAACCTTTGGCTAAGTTTTTAACTTGGTGTTTGTGTTACATGTATATGTATGTATGTATGTATGTGTATGTATGTGTGTATATGTGTGTATGTGTGTATATATATGTATGTATGTGTGTATATATATGTATGTATGTGTATATATGTGTGTGTGCTTGAATATATGGAGGCCAGAAGCCAATACTGGGTGTCTTTCCCAGTTGCTGTCAGCCTTATTTTTTGAGACAGGGTCTCTCGCAGTACCCAGGACTCACTGATTTGGCTAGGCTGGCTGACCCATGAGCTCCAGGACCCATCTCTCCACCTCCCCAGAACTGGGACTGGATCGGTGTACCACAGCACTCAGCTTCTTATGTAGGTGCTGGGCCTCTAAAACTCAAGCCCTCTGTTTACATGGGAAGCGCTTTACCAGCTGAGCCATCCCAGGTCTTGACATGGAGAGCAAGCACTCTGGTTCTCCTGAGCCCCTTCCCAGCCCTCCTTTGCCTATTCATCCGTTCATTTATTTTATTTATTTATTTTTAATCTTACTGTGTATGGATGTTTTGCCTGCATGTATGGCTGGGCACCATGCATGCAGAGGGTGTGTTGGGTCCCCTGGGACTGTGAGCTGCCAGGTGTGTGGTGGGGCAAGTCTTCTGGAAGAGCAGTCCCCGGCTCTCCAGTCCCCCATTTGTGGTTTTAATCACCATCCTGATCATCCCCCAAAGGAACAGCTGCCTTAGAAAGCAGATGTTTTTACCCTCACACCTTTGAGGGCCACTTCTATCTGAGTTAAACACTCGCTGGTCTTTTCCTTGTACCAACCCTCTCCTTACACGGTGAGTGAGTGTCCCTCACACACGGTGAGTGAGTGTCCCTCACACACGGTGAGTGAGTGTCCCTCACACACGGTGAGTGAGTGTCCCTCACACACGGTGAGTGAGTGTCCCTCACACACGGTGAGTGAGTGTCCCTCACACACGGTGAGTGAGTGTCCCTCACACACGGTGAGTGAGTGTCCCTCACACACCTTGACTGGCGCTGGTGAGCTGCCCCAGCTGTGCCATTGCGTGGCTGTGATGGAGCTGGAATTACTTCTTGCCTTTCTCTCAGGGCTAGACGCATCAGTTGAAGATTGCAGTCTGCACTTAGCTTAACAAACTCAATGGAGGGAGGGGTTGGGCGCCGACTGTTTTCTTTGGGGGCTCATCTTAGCGGTGTGAACTGGCAGGAGGCTAGCAGACCATAGCAGACAACTGCCTGGCCCGGGTGCGGAGCTTACCCTTCCTTACCGCCCCCCCCCCATTCTTAACCTTTTTGTGCTTTTGTAGTAATTCATGATTTGGGGGCCTGTGAGGTGACTCAGGATCTAAGGGCACTGGCTGCCGATCCTGCGGACTTGAGTTGGATCTGAGGAACCCACATGGTGGGAGGAGAGAGTCAAAATTGTTACACCTATGCCATGGCATGCATGTGCACCCCCGGCCCCCAATAAATAAATAAATAAATGTGAAAGCAAACAACAACAACAAAAACCCCAACAAACTCAACATTCGGCACAAAGTGGGGCATTTCCCTTTCTAATTGTTAAGCTGCTTGGATATTTTCTTTTGTGGCAGTCACTGGGGCAGGCATTAAAGCAGGAAACAAGGTTACCTTAGGTCGTCCTCTGAGGGCTTCTCTCCCTTTAAAGCTTGTTTGCATGTAGCTTGATTGAGTTACTGCATTGGAAGAGAGGAGCCCGTTGAAGATATATCATCTTCTGAAGATTCGGGGTTACACCTCAGCACGGGAGAAAGGGCGCACAGTGGCAGTGAAGATTCTAGACGCGCTCAGCTCTCTTGCGGTTTCTCTGGGCCACCTCCTTCAAGAGCAGCTAAATGGAAATGCAGGGCTTTGCTGATATTCAGTGTTCATTTTATTGAGTAAAATATGAGCAAGACACTGGATGTTTTCAAAGTTAGTGTCATCCACGGCAGGGTTTACCTAAGCAATGATTGGTTATTGAGTCTTTGGAGTAAGGAAATGGTGATTAATGGCTGTCTTGGGAGTGTCTGCCTCATCAGGAGGGCAAGTGTAGACATTGTAGAGAAATCAAGTTATTGAGAGCATGGGGGGCAGCAGTTAGTTTGCATAGGGGTGTCCATGAGGCCTCTTTGGGGAGGTGGCATTTGCATGGTCTGGATGAATGGAGGGAGCATGTGTGCAGGCGCGTCTTGTGGAAATTTGTTTTAACTGGAAAGCTGGCTATGGCTAGAGTAGGGGAAAGAGAGCCCATGTGTTTCCTCATGTCTGTGAAACACTGTTAAGCATGGGTTTGAGCCAGAGAGGACAGTGGCAGTGACTGAGGTGGCAGCAGCCCTGGAGAGAAATGGCCAGGTTTGGGAAAGGTGCCGATTTAATGTCAGGGCTATGAGAAGCACTGTTGGAGGAGCCATGGCTGTGTTTGCCAAGCACCTAAGCACCACAGGAGGGACAGGCAAAGATTTGGGTACAGGAAGAGTTGAGCTTGGGATCCTTTAGGTGAGTCCAGGGGACAATGCATCTGCCAGGCTGGTGTCAGAGGAGAGGGAGGCCTGAGTCCCAGATGGCAGCTCTGTACTGGCATAGCCAGATTTGAATGTGAGCCCTCTGGGGAGCTGGCCTCGGAAGCGGAGGAGGGGTGCCTGGGGAGAGGAAGAAAACAGCGTTCCCTGGCTGATCCTAGTACTCTGGAGGCTAAGGCAGCCGCATGATCGACAGAGCAAGATCCTTGTCTCATAAAACAGGCAAAATAAAGCTAGGATAGCGTGTGGCATCTCATGGTCCAAGTGGAGAGTGTTTTAAGATATGGAGGGAGACACGCTGCCTTTGAGTGCACTGAAGATTCGGGTGGGATTCTGACCCAAGTTTCAGGAGCTGTGGAGAGCGTTGGGAGCAGTGGCTCCTGGGAGTACAGTCAGGACGGGTGAAGGAGACTGAGAAGGGGAGAGAGGGTGAAGTACTAAAGAGAGACCACTGTTTGGAGGCTTTTGTCTTAGAAGGAGACGAAGATGCTGAAGTAACTGAGGGACTTCCCCCACTCCCTCATGGTAGAGGGGATGTTAGAAGATGTGGGTGTGCTCGTGGGTGTGACCCTCCTCCTCCAGAAGGAAGAACGCAATGAGACTTTGTCACCTTGAGGCTGCCATTCTCCATCTTAAAGGTTAGCTAGGGGGATGTTTGTGTTGGCTCGGGAGTATTGACTCCCCTTGGCTTTCTTCAGGGAGCCTTTGCGATTTTCTTTCTGTCTCCTTTTGGCTTGCTTAGTCTCATTGTGTATCGGGATAGATTTTATCTTTCACATTTCTGGTAAATGGTGATTATTAGGAAGTTGAACCAATTGTGTGTGAAAAATGCCAAAGACGTTTAGCAGGGAATGTGTTTCCCAAGGCCTATTGTTTCCCACAGAAAGGAAACCACTGGCTTCTTGCATGGATGAGGATAAAGTTATTTTGTGAACACAGTACTTTTTTTCCTTTCAACTGACTAGCATTTTTCATACTGTGATCAAAAGAAATTACTTTCTGAAAACAACAGTTTAATGGGACATGCAGACTTCGATTGTAAGCAGGGATCTACTGGAAGCCCTTAGAAAAACCCAGCTTCTTTCCAGACCATTTTACATTCTAGAGGTAGTTCACGTTGTTAGCTTGGGAAGAAAGATACATTGAGAAAGCTAGAAGTACGTATTTAGTTTTTAATGACTTTCAAAAGTAATAAAGAGTTTTAGTTAACTGTAAGGAAGAAAATGGGCAACATGGGACGCTTCAGTCCAAAGGAAAAGGGAAAAATGCGTATTTTTGTATGTAGTATTATTTACACGGTTACTTTTCCATTGCTTTGAGCACAACCGGAGACGGAAACATTTACTGTTACTTACATTCAGAAGGTTGCAGTCCATCATGGTGGGGAAGGCAGGGAGGAACAGCTCAGTTGATGGTGTACAGAGTCTATGGCAGGGACTGATTGGAACACAGTGACCAGGAATCAGAGAGCTTGACAGGGGTCAGGTACCAGGCTATGACCCTGTGAGGCCCAATTCTAGTGATTTCTTTCTTCAAGTTAGGCTTCATCTCCTAATGACCACACAACCTCCCCAAATAACACTACCCACTGGAGAACAAAAGTCCAAAACTGAGCTCTTGGGAGCTATTTCAGATTCAAACCATAACAATGTAAGACATGTACGCGAGGTGTGTAGACACAGTCTGATCTCTCACCCTGAGTTAAAAAAGAGAGTCTTCAGGTAATTTTGTTTAAAAAACAAAATTTAGAGGACAATCCGTAGGAAGCACATGCTATAGGCCAGTAAGTGTGGGCATGCTCCGCTGGGCGTGAGCATGGAGGGTCCAACGTGGGAAGCTTGGTGCCTCTTCTCCCAAATGCTCGGCGGCGCCTGTCGCCTTCAGTAGCAGCCGCAGTAGTGGACAAGGAAACGCCGAACCGAGGCTGCTGCCGCTCTCCTATAACCTTCTAGATGGAGAGGCGACACTCCCAGCCATCGTCTTTTTGCATGGACTCTTCGGCAGCAAAACCAACTTCAACTCCATCGCCAAGGCGATGGTCCAAAGAACCGGCAGGAGGGTGTTGACAGTGGATGCTCGGAACCATGGTGACAATCCCCACCATCCAGATGCAAGCTACGAGGACATGAGTCAGGACCTTCAGGGCCTCCTGCCACAGCTGGGCCTGGTGCCCTGCGTTCTTGTTGGCCACAGCATGGGAGGAAAGACAGCCGTGCTGCTGGCATTGCAGAGGCCAGATGTTGTGGAGCGATTGGTAAGCCCAGTAGGAACCACACCTGGATCATATCTAGGAAGCTACATAGCAGCCATGAAGGCCGCTGATATCCCGGAGAAGGTGCCGCACTCCCAGGCCCGAAAACTGGTAGATGCACAACTTAGTGCCACTGTCAAGGACCCAGCCATTCGGAGGTTCCTGCTCGCTAACCTGGTGGAGGTAGATCGGCGGTTCTCTTGGAGAGTGAACTTGGAGACTTTAGCTCAGCACTTGGACAAGATTCTGACCTACCCACAGCAGCATGAATCCTACTCGGGGCCAACTCTCTTTCTGATTGGTGGAAATTCTAGCTATGTACAATCCAGCCACCACTCAGAGATTAGGCGTCTCTTTCCTCAAGCCCAGATTCAGACTGTGCCTAATGCTGGCCACTGGGTCCACAGTGACAAACCCCAAGACTTCACCGATGCCGTCAGCAGCTTCTTGGCCTAAGAAATGGCTTCTTGAAAGAGCAGACAGGGAACTCTGGGCTGCCTGCTTCTGCATGGAACAATTCAGGTGGGCACTGAGAGGGCTCAGAGGTACAAAGGTCGTCCAGCCCTTTAATAAATAAAGGCAGTTCTCTTAAAAAAAATTAGGCGGGCGATGGTAGCACAAGCTTTAATCCTAGCACTTGGGAGGCAGAGGCAGGTGGATCTCTGTGAGTTTGAGGCCAGCCTGGTCTACAAACTTGAGTTCTAGGACAGCCAGGGCTATACAGAGAAACCCTGTCTCAAAAAAAAAAAAAAATAGCAGAAAACCAAGGATGTGATAGGTTTATGTTTGCCTTTCTAAAACACTGGATTTCTGGACTAGGCTTTTATCTTTGTGTTTTATGGTCTCTGAATCTGTATCCAGGAACAAACCCTAAATATGTCTGGCAGTAATGATGCCATCCTCTTTCTGAGCATCTAAGAAAAGCATTCATGGACAAGAGTTTGAGAAGGGCCAGCGAGGACGTTTGGGCTGTAAGCTGTGCTTACATAGACACACTTTTGCCATCGTTTGTGACCTCTGAATAGTGGAGGTGTGAGTACTCAAAGAACACCTGTGTGTAACAGACACGTGACACATTCCCCGTGTGACGTCACTCAGTCTGTGCTGACTTGTCTTCTGATCTCCACCCCGCCCACCGTGAGTGGGTTAAAGTAGCAGCGGCTTTCCATGCAGACAGTTGTGGAATGGAATACATAAATGTGAACAAGCTTGGGTCAGCTGGTGATAAACGCTCCATGATGAAAACGGGATTGCAGTTCTTCCGAACCTCTCTTCTCTTTGTTTGATTGAGAGTCACAGTAACTACCTCCTTAGAGTTGTGTGGGCTTAATTAAGAGGCGTGGGAAACGCACCTACCAGAGTACCTGGCACAATGCCCACAGCCAAGTGAGGGATATGCCCCCCCCCCCTTTGTCTGAGTCATCCAGCTCTTCGGGGTAGTGCCAATAATATACGTCAGTTACAGTGTACTTAAGCTGTGTCCTTGAGTGGGCTTGAAGATCTTGTTGAAAAGCAAAGTAACAGGTATAAACCTTGAAGACGTTGTGCTTGGTGAAATAAGCCAGATCCCCAGAGGGCAGGTAGCTGTGATCCCAGTGGTGTGAGATACCAGGTCATCAGTTCACTGAGACGACAAGTGGGTGGGCGGCTGGAAGAGGCCAAGGTAGGGTAATGGGGCATCACTGTGTCACGGGTACTGAGTTTTGCAAGATGCAGAGAGAGCTGGAGTCTGATGATGGTGGTGACTGGACGTGGGTGTGAATATCCTGTGTGCGCTATGAAACAGGTAGGATGGCAGAGGACATGTCATGACCATCACCACACACACACACACACACACACACACACACACACACACACACACAGAGATTCCTCCCACCCCCCACCCCCGGTCGCATTTTCCATATGTGTCAGTGAACCAAGAGCCATCAAGTAGTGGGGTCTGGCATAGTGTGTCTGTGAGATTCCCACAAGATGAAAGCTCTGTTGGAAATTCTCTTTCCTTCTCCGAGCTGCTCTTTGGTGGCTGGAAAAGGCATTTTCCATTGTTCTGTCAATTGAGAAAATGTTTCTTGGGTTCTCATTGTGCTCACAAAACAACAACGCAAAAGTGTTGAGTGACACCTGCCAGTGATTGTTCTAAGTTTACACCAAACAGTCCTCAGGGTACTTCTACAGTCCTTTGGAAGCTTCATGAAATAGCCCTTAAAGGCATTGTTCTCATTTTGCAGCTGAGAAGCCAAAGGCTCTTGAGTGGGTAAGAGGCTTTTTACTTTAAAAACATCTTTAGAAGTGTTTCAGTTCATAGACACAAAGGCAGGACATTCCAAATCGCAGAAAGGGGCCGGCAGATGTAGGTGCAGGACTGTGTGAGACATATTTGTATGAAGCGGAGTCGAGAGAACGTTAGGGACATAGGTTGGTGGTTTTGTCTTTTTCATTACAATCTTGACTCCCAGGACAGTGCGGTCCCCTACTATCTGGTAGGCATCGCTGGCCGCACTGTGTCTTAGGAAGCAAAGCTTGGGATACAGTAAGGTCCCTAAAGAAGGAAGGGCAGAGACCAAGTAGGACTCCCACTTAGCCTTTTGTTGTGGTCAAGTGGAAGGGTATTTTCTGTTTTAGTACTCCAGGACTGGGAGTCGCAGCTCATGGTTGATTGAGTAAGGCGAGTCACAAGAATGGCAGGCTATGGAGATAGATGCTCAGCAGGTAAACATGATGACTGGGGTTACAAACTTGAAACCCATATGGTGGAGGGAGGGAGCGTCTTCCTCAGCAACAACAAAAAAACCTACAATAATAGTGTAATAATTTTTTTAAAAAGAGGGAGGTGGAGCTGTGTGGTCCTAGGAGGAGAAGTGCCGCTCACCGCACCCCCGTGTCTGCGCTCGGTGCGCTATTACCCAACCAGTATGCGAGCTTCGGGCAAGGGGGCTGAAGGTTAAAATACACAAACACACACAGACAGAAAGACAGAGACACGGGTCATCCTTGAATTCCCCAAGAATGCCTCCTTTAATGTGTTCATGGGCAGATTATATAGAGATAACCACGCCCCAGCCAAACCCACCAGAAACCACTCTCCTGCCATCAGGAACTCCTGAAGGTCTCGTGCTCAGAGCAGCTGTAGGCACTCAGATCAGGGGAAAACAAGTTGCTTACAAGAAATTCAGGATCTGTGGGTCTCACTGCTCCCAACAGAGAAGAGGCCCATGGAGTTCATACGTGAGTGTAAATGACTGAGGAGATTTTCCAGTTTTGTGGGCTTCGTTTTCATTTTGATACAACAGTCACCTGAATACATAGGTGAGTTGCAGTTTAGCTTTGGAAAAAGGAGGATTAGAAGTAAAATGTCCAGGGGGTGAAGTGCCTGGGAAGGGGGGACTCCAGGGGCCTGAGTTGACCAAATGGGGTTGGCCTTGGGCCGCTGCATCCAGTTGAAGAGATGGAGTGTCATCGAGATGATGGGGGTGCAGTTGGTGTGGAGACTTGACAAGCCAGGTGTCTTCTTCAGAGGGTACTCAGCAGGGCTGGGCACTCTTTAGAGTAATAGTAACATGTGTTAGTCCATTTAAAGCAAGGTTTATCTATTTTTGTTCTATGTCTATGGGTGTTTGGCCTTCGTATATGCCTGTGCACCATGTACGTGAATTGCCAATGAGGCCAGAAGAGGCTGTGGTGTTCTCTAGGACCAAATTACAGAGTCGTGAGCTGCCACGAGGCTGTTGGAATTTGAACCCGAGTCTTCTGCAAGAGCAGGCAGTGTTCTTGACTGCTGAACGAGCCATCTTGTCTAGTCCCTGTATTAGTTCCTTAGAAAAATAACGTATACAGCCAGGCACGGTGAAGATGAGGACAGAAGGGTTTAGGGGTCTAGGGCCGATCTCCATGACATACATAATGAAGCTGAGGCCTACCCGGGGCATATGACTTCCCATCTTTAAAGCAACAAACAACACTCTTCCCCTACTCCCCAATAACTTCAGAGGCTTTCTCATATAATATTTGTAGCCCAATATGCTGACAGTTGATTATTTAACAGAAAACTTATTATTTAAGGGGCTGGGGAGATGACTCCGAGGAGAAAGTGCATGCCAGGCAACCATGGGGGTCACAGTTGGGATCTCAGCACCCTTTTCAGTACTGTCCTTCCAGGACTTGGGAGGCAAAGGCAGGGACTCCTCAGAGAGAGCTGTGAGCTAGTGCAGGCAGGACACACCGAGCTCTTGACCCAGAGCAGCCTTGTGCCAGGGAGTAAATTGCAGAGATCGAGGAAGACACCAAAGTCAAGTCATTCAGGCTTTTCCATGCACACGCATAATCACTCTTGTGAGCGCACGCTCACACACACATAAACACACAGACACCACATACAGACACAGACACCACACACACACACACAAGAAAAGGAAACTTGTTTGAAATAAGTTGGAAAGTACATACTTTAAACACTTTATAACTAGATATATAAATATTTTAAATTTGCTAATCTTTTGAAATACAGTCAGGGCATTTTCTGTACAATGTGTTTTAGAGTGATTTCCTTTAGGTCATAAAAGTTCATTTTTAGAGACAAAACATTTTCTTTTCACTCTCATTCTTGATGTGTAATACTTGGCTAAATTACATAATTAGAATAAACACACTGACCTGAGCAGATTATAGGACAATTTTTTTCTTCCTGGCTGACATGTAGTTCTGTTAGGAGAAAAATGCATTGGACCCTCTGATTCCAATAGCCTTTCTGGAGGCTGAAATCCAGAAGCCTTGGCTCTCCTTGCTCTTATGGCTGGCAGGAGTCTGGTATGATGTTTAGGCCCAAGGCTTTCCCAGACTATAAAGGAGCAACATAGCAAATAATGTTGCAGGTACTAGGTTATTGATAAACAAGTTTGAGTATAGTTATTTTTAAGAGAGCACCAGTTTTGTTGATAATAATTCCCATACCACTATGAATTACCAACTTAAAGACTATTACAAGTCGCGGCTACTGTGAACTCACAGACAGTTGCATCTCCACAGTTGATTGTTGTGTTTTCATCATTCCCCCTTTTGCTTCGGTTCCTAGGTGCCTGCTCATCTGTTTTTCTCTGTGTGTAGATCTGTCTGCTCTGGACGTCAGCTTGTTTCAGTTAGTATATTTACATTGTGTAACACGTCAGTACATTGTTTCTTCCTGTGGTAGTGTAATACTCCAGCAGGTACCCTTACCTCAGTTGACCATTAATTAGTGGGTAACGTTTGGGTTATTTCCACCCTTGGCAATTGCATAAAAGGGTATGATAACCATGCATTTTGTGGGGGTATATATTTTCATTTTGTGTTTGTAACCCCAAGAGTGGAATTCCTGGGTGGTGTTTATCCTTTGGAGAGCATATAGATTTCTCTGGAGTTGCTCTTCTGACGTTTTGTTCCCACTAGTGGTATGTGAGGGTTTTAGCCATGTTCTTATTGCCTAGTGCCATCAGCCTTAGTCGGCACGGAATGTGGCACTGGAATGCCATATATTGCTGAGTCAAGTCCTGGGGGTGGAGAAGCCTATGGCCAAGGCAGATCTGGTATCTGGAGAGAGCCCACTTCCTGGTTTGGTAGATAAAGG